TTTCCTCAGATACTCACAGTCTAGGGATGATGTTGCCTGCATACTGAACAAGCTCATAGAGGTCAGCGACCTTGCGGCCTTTGGCAAACTCATCTGTCAAATAGACCTCCAGGTAATGTAGCTCATCAGAGATGGCCATGTCTACAACAACAATTTAGTACAATAAATAAACGAAATCTCTACAGATGGCATGTATAGTACACTGTTCTTTAACACTCAAGAAAATTCTTAATGTTAAGAGTGCAAATGAGTTCTATTCTATTAAACACAATGCAACGGAAACATACAGAGTTCGTAGTAGCTCTTGGGAGAAAGCATAGAAGTCCTCAACTCCCCCAACATATTTGAGGCATGTTTCAGTGCATCCATCAACTTGTTCTTGTCCTGGATGAAGAACATAAATGTTCATAAACAGAGTAAGGGTGCAGCTTTTACACTCCAATATAAATATAATTTTGTTTTTCTATGTTTTGTTTTAATGGTTAAAAGCAAGAAGCATCACACTGCTGTGGATGGATTAACAGTGTTACAGAAACTGTAAACTTGCATGTACTTAACTCACCAGACAGCGTTTCATCTGAAATGACTGAACCTTGACTGCCTGCACAGCTTCATCCAACAGTTTCTCCTGCTCATCCTGAGGTGACTGCTGTGTGGTAGGCTGGAATAAACAGGTGCAGTCAAACAATCAAACTAGAAACTAGCGTCAAAAACTTTTACATTTGTTAAAAAAATATTTTGAGTAGGCTAGTTTATTTCAACATCAATATTATATGTCCCACCAGTCAAAAGTTTGGATAGAAAATTATTACCATTTTCTACATTTTATAATACCTTCTACAATAGGGATGCACCAGTGTATTAGCCAATGATCCGGTTCGGCAGATAAAAGCAATTATCTGCACTATCGGTCATCGGCTGATTGTCTAGTAGTAGTATATATTTATTTAATGCCATGTCAGCATCTTAGGCTATTTTCATGGCAAAAATAATAAAAAATACAAGTATAACAAATACAATAAATACCAGCAAACAAACAAACACAAGTTATATTACACAAGATTTTTTATATTAATATATGATAAAAATTCTAAAACTTTTTCTGGCAAAATTATACTAAATAAATCTTTAAATGAGTTCACTTCATAAAAGAGTTTTCTACATACATTAAAAGCTGGACAGTCCAATAAAATATGTTTGACAGAAAGAGGAACCTTGCAAAACATGCATTGAGTAGGGTCTTCACCTAAGCAAGAATGCATGAGTCAGTCTTGTATGACCTATGCGACATCTGGTAAATACCACTTGATCAAATCTAGTTTTAAAAGAGATTAAAAATCTGTTTGAAATTTCCGGATGCATTTCATGTAATTTATTATTTGTACATGTATCCCACTCTTCTTGCCACTTATTTAACTACCCTAACAGTCTACTCTGAGAGTTAGTAGACATGTAGATGCAAATTAATGAGAATTAGTTGACATGTAGTTGACATGTAGTTACAAAGTTACTTATAGTTAGTAGAATGTCTAAACTGGACTATCGAAATAAAGTGTAACCGAATGATGTATAAGGTCAGCTTTGCACATGCGCCGGTGAGTGCGCATGCGCCACTATTTTTTTATGGATGGGTGCATTTTATTTAACTTCTTTTGGACTGATGCATGCGACACCCGCTGAGTGTCATTAAACAGCTTGAAAGATCAAAGACAATTTTTTATATAACTCAGACTGGATTCGTCTGAAAGAAGAAAGTCATATACACCTAGGATGACTTGAGGGTGAGTAATTTATGGGCTAATTTTAATTTTTGGGTGAACTATCCCTTTAATAATAGGTCTGATCTCTGAGGGAGGAATTTGACATTTGTTTACTTGCTGATTAAAAGCCTCCTTTGCTGCTGCATCAGCTTGCTCATTTCCTGAAAGCCCAACATGGCCTGGAACCCAGCATAAAATAATACTATAGAATTGATTCTGTAGATGGTCCACTTTGGTTAAAATACAATCTATCAAAGGATGATCAGTTTTTAAAGAGTCCATTACTTGAAGGCATGATTTAGAGTCCGTAAAAATGATAGAATCCTTTTGTTGTGCATTTTCAATGTATTCCAAAGCTAATAGCAAAGCTTCAGCTGTAAAAAATTGAACACTCTTTTTGACTGATATCTAGAGTTTACACCCAACTACACAACAATCACGCTCACCCAGGAAGTAATTTCTTCACTGTTTGTGTGTGCAATGCGCATGATTAACTGTTTAAACACACATTTTTGGCTCTCTGCCTCGAGAGAGGATGTACAATAGCACTGATTCACATCATGGGCCGTGTATTTTTGTAGGTCAGTTTCACGCTTCAAATTTTCAGACATGCACGAGCGCTCCATTCTTTGTTGTCGAAAAGCATGTCCGCAGTAATAGACTGTCTGTAAGCACTCAAAACAAGAAAATAATTCCGTGTTCTTTCGCTAACTTCCTAAAATACAATCTATCAAAGGGTGTCGATTGTTTAAAAACAGCCAATGATCAGGGCCGATTATTTCCTTTCAATCAAAAGGTGTTAGATAAGCATGTCAGACAGTAACCTGCATGAAGAAAATGTTTCTTGTGTTGAATGTAGGGCTGTTTTGACGCTCTTAAATGTGGCATGACAGAACGCTGTAGCTGCTTCAGTTCAGTTCAGAGCACGAGTCTCTTCCACTCTAAACATGAATGAACATCAGTAGGTATGTTGAAAGATACAGTACAACTTACCAAAATTAATCATGTCTCATGTAATCACTCCATCAGTGTTTCAACCAAAAGATGTCACATAATACAGCTTGTGAACAATGTCACAAAGTTATCCACTGTTCACAGTTCATAGTTAGCTATAAAAAAACACACTAGAGGGAGCTTAATTACTGTTAATTATATATGTATGTTTGAATAGTTTTTATGAAAACTATCTTATGTGCAATTGAGTTGTAAACAAATGTTTTTATTCGAGTGTGATTATTATATCTGAAAATAAACAGCTTTGAATATAATAGTGTTGTTGTTCATTTTAACCTCTAATTTACCATATGAGAGGGTTCCCTGTATAGTTTACAGCATTAGTCGGGAGAGATTTTTTTTCCCTTAAAAAACAAACAAACTATCGATATCAACATCATTATCGGCAGATATCATACAGAATAACTGCCTATTGGTATCAGCTGAGAAATTTCATATCGATGCATCTATATTTTATAACTAATTTAAAGCATTTAAGGTCTTCAGACATTACTCTTTAAATGAAAAGAGTAACAGCTGTATACAAAGTTTTTGACCACTGTAAACGTATACAATTTCTCATTAATCCACATTGAGATGCCCATATCTCTGAAATTAGCCTAAAATCATATAAAAAAATAAGATTCAAAAAGAAATGTTTGTTAAGAACAAACATCTAAAAGGATACTAAGACATTATCCATTTCTGAACTGTCGATAATGCCATATACTGCAACAAGGATTGCTAAGGTCAACTAATTTTACAAACAGACCTACATAAAAATAAAATAATGATGCTGTCATCTTTCTAAAGTCCTTCTAAAGTGTCCTGTAATTTGTCAACAAACCACTGCAAAATTGTCATTTTCGATCTTTAACATTATAAATGTCTGTACTGCCATTGTTTTTACCAATTTAATAAATCCTTGCTGAATGCTAAAAAAAAAAACCTTATTAATCACAAACTTTTGAACAGTAGAAAAAAAAAATATAATAATAATAATTTTATATATATATATATATATAGGACACTTTCCCTTATATATTCACTACTGTTCAAAAATTTTAATTTTGAGTGCTGTTGCTGGTTGCCATTTCTTTTAAAATGTTTCTTGACATGTTAATCACATTTTAGCCTATTTTATAAATATGAAGACCACTGAAAACCACTGTACATAATTGTAAATTAATTACAAATTAATTAAAAAATATATTGTTTAAAAATTAAATACAGTAGGCTACATAACTGAAGTGTCAGAGGTCTGCAGCTGGCTGGGGTGGGGGTGACATACGTAATGACAACATACAGCCACCCCTGACCCCTCCTAAGTGTTATGATAAACGGTAAACATAACCGATTATGGGCTTCTTAAAACTGAATGAATGAACCAGAGACCAAACATCGCTTATGTTATGCATACTAAAAAAACTGCCATTATTCAAATATATGTAAATGCACATGTAAACAAAGAGCTGCATATAAACGTATCGTAGATGTATAACAATAAATAAAAATGCCGATATAAACCTAACTGTAAAGAAATAACAAGGCTAATGCTAGCAGGATTAGCAGTTTAAATTAGCTCATTTTGCACAAAACTTGTGAATTGTAATGACAGCAAAACATAACGGCTGTAAGTTTACTACACCTGCATGCCAAATGTTAAACCGCTAGTAGAATAAACCAAGACAGAGGAAATAAACGAGAATAATTAAGTGTACGTAGGCCTCCGCATCTCAAACGCTTATGCTAACGGCTATCTTCACAAACGCAAAACAGTCCGCCAAGAGATCTCAGTGCCCCTCTGACACCATCACTGCTGTAATCAACTTAACGGCGCATATAAAGCATCCAGCACACAGTCTATGCATACGACGGTCGCTTATATCTTACCATGATTATTAGGTGTGTTAGAGGAAACACTGGATGACCCCGCTGTGAATGTGTCGAATCATGTGACTGCGCCGCTGCTGTTCCGCCTCATGACGAGCAGCACAACAAGCCCTATCTGAAACGCTGTAGAAGCTACATTAAAAATTAAAATGAATTTATTTACAATAAAATAATTGGCTGAGTTGTGTCATTATATCATTCTATTTGTGTGGAAAGTGTAATGAAAAACATTTCTCTGACCAACATGTTACATTGCATACTTCGCTTGGCCTATATTATCATTTAATTTGACGAATACTTAAATAGTAGTTAAGGTTTATACGTATTTTACGCCAATGACGTTGGCCACGCCCATTTCTTGATCCACCAATGGCAGGTCCGAACGTTTATTTGGGGTGTGACACGTGTTCGTTTTCGCGCGAAACCAGTCTGTCTGTGTGCTTAGTCTGCAGGGGATTCCATTGTGTTGTGGTTACAGAGAAGATCCGAGCATCTTTACAAATGGATAAAGAGTTATTTCGTAAGCTTGCTTCGAAGATTGGGATAACAGCTGTTAAAGTATTGAGGTAAGTGTTCCAGTGTCCAGTCGCTTGTTTTGAGAGACAATGGTTCAGTCCGAAGTAAACATGTCAATATAACAACACAGCTAATTCTGGTCATTTATTTTCAGTCAAGCCGAGGAATACATGCGATTATCCCAAGTGAAATGTGTTGGACTGGGTTCTGTTACAGCCACCAGCAAGGCCATTATTTGCCTTGAGTTGGCAGCGATTTCCATGAAATTTCCTCTAGACAAGGCAAGATCCACTTCCCATACTGCGTTGTGATGTGTAGCATATGTATATACATACATGTAAGTTACAGACATACATAAACTTTTGAGTATGTTGCTATAATTTGTAATATCATATGATGGAAGTATTCATGTGTGCGAGTTTTCTATAAATGTTAAGCCCAGTAGACTTTCTTGTGTTTGCCTATTGATTTTATTTCCCCCCCCCAACACTGTCCAGTTGTGGCGTCACAAGAAAATTGTTATTTCCATCTCATCTCAAATTCTGTATTGAATAAAATAGCTTTCTTTATGGAACTTAATTGTCATTTTATAAATAAATGGCCTATTACGGTGATTTTCCAACCCTAATTTTATAGCAATGAATGTATGAATCCTAAATATACACATATAATTAGGAAACACTTTTTGCCATGATTTAGACAAAATTACAGCCTGGTGGTTGACAGTTAATAGAAATATTCTGTTTTCCTAATCCATCACATATCTCATATTTAACATGAAGAATGCTTGTCCACAGACTGATATTTGCAGTTGAAAAATTAGGGGCAATTAGACGTAATAAAAATGTATCAAAATAACTTTCACACAATAAGCATTGAATGTTTTACACAATATGTTAACATTATGTTTACACATTAAGTAAAAGTTTACTTTTTTTTTTTGCTATAATTAATCAAATAAATATTCTTTATACTGGATAGGAGTATGCCATCAAACTGTCTGGACTAAGTCCTAAGGTTTACTCCAGTAATCTGAAGGCTATGGAGTGCATGCTGGGCCTGCAGTCAAACCTGGGTCTCAGAGATCTTGCAGTGCAGTTTGGGTGTTTGGAAGCGGTTAAAGTGGCCTCTCAGATCCTTCAGAGGTGAGTCTTCACATTGCATCAGTGCAATCAATATTAACTGAATGACTTATAAACTTGCATGTATTTGTTCAAGGTATGAGACCAGTTTGCCCGCTGCTCAGCAACAAGACCTTGACCTGTCAAAGCCTCTCTTTACCACAGCAGCTCTATATGCAGCATGCAAGTGAGTATAGATTGCTGTGATGTCTCATTGTCATCGAGTCAAATAATAACTGGTTCAAAAATGCTTGATAGTGGATGATTGTGTTTGATAATTACATAATAATTTTGGTTGGGAGCTCAATTGTCTCTTGAACCTCATTAAGCCCTTCACAGTGTCACTGTGGTCAAAGTACTTTAATATGAGGCTATGAGAGGTGTATTGAGTACAGATTAATTTGGAGCTTAAATTACATTTGGAAAGGTCAGATCTTGGATTGGTTATCGCATAGTTGTTAAATTTAGTCATATTTGTTCCTGTCCACACTTATAGCTAGGTTATTTGCATATTAGGCTCTATGAAAGTGAGTGCTTGCATGAGAAATGCCACTGTCTTTCTTAAAGGTGGTACTGTTATAAGACTGCCTAAATCTAAATGTACTGAGCCTGTGTGGGACTATTGTTATCCAACCAAACGCTGTTCCTGTACGATAATAAACAACTAAAGCTCCCAGATGGGTCAAAAATATTTTATGCATGTCAACAAGCCACAGAAATCTCTCAATCTAAACTGCACCTGGTTTACATTCAGTTACTGAAGATGGACAAATAAATTGGTTCTGTCCTTTTTTGAAGGTGCATAAAAATCAGAACTGACAGGAAATTAGCCTCTTCATCTGGAGCAAAGAAGGGCATCTTTGACCGGCTGTGCGCACAGTTTCAGAAATTCGGACAGGAGATCTGCAGTGAGTGTGACTCCTTCAAACAAAAATGACACCTTGCCTAATTAAAGTGAATAAAGGCATTTTTGTAGGAGATCTTGGTCTGGCTTTCATGTTTAACAAAGATGTTGTAATTGAAGTTGCGCAACTTCTAATCTTTTTTTTTTCTTCAAAAGAGATCCGTCACGAAGAAACAAATTTGACTGGCTACAATGGCTACAGACATATCACAATTAGACAATGTATATTTTTTGTGTAGTTCGACATCAAAGAGCAGCATGTTTCTTAAGTAGTTATTGAAGTTATGATATTAAGCTGACTGATTCGTTCTATCTCCCTGTACCCTCAGATGAGGCTTCATCTATGGAGAAACCAGTCAAAACTGTTCAAAAGAGGCAGAAGACAATCACTGGAATGCTAGAAACAGAAGAAGATGGTAAGAAAGCCATTTGCTTACCACAGTAAATAATAATGGCAAATTATTATTCTACCCATAAGCTGCCCTAATGTTACAGTGGAAGAACTTTTTCTGTTCTTAAGCATGTTTTTTATGCTGTGTAAAAAAAAAGTTTTTTCTCTCAGTAATAAGACTAATAAATAATATTTCTAGATGTAATATTTAATAATAGACTGTAGGTTTGATGATAAAAGTAATTGTCTTTTTTGGCTTTTTCCAGATGAAAAGCTTTCAACATCCCCTAAGCGAGAGCGGGTTGAGAAAACCGAGGAAGAAGAGACACAAAATTATGAAGAGTGGAAAAGAAAAATTCTTGAAAATGCATTAAAACCAAAGGCAGTAGATTCTTGAACTCTGTAAGGTTTTGTTTCAGATTTATTTAATTATGGTTCTGCATAATGCCAAAAGGACCTTACTTTGATTTGAATTTAATACTCTATTACCAAGAGAAGTTGTCTGCCCCCTTCTGGCTCCGTGTGTAAATTTGTTCCATTTACATATGGACATTTCCAGAGGAATTGAGGCACTTTTTATTATCCTTTGTTTCATTGGCATTTCTTGGTGCAAATATGGTTACCATTTTATGACAGATTTAATATTGTGCAAAGGTTTACTGATTGTTAAGTTCCTTATTTAGATCATGTGTGTTTAACATGCAGGATTTTATCGTGGTTCATTTAGTTTGTGTTAATGTTTGAATTGTCGTGTTTAATCCATCATGATTTGGATGATTATGTCTGGTGACAATATGACTTCATTGCTCACAGTGTTCTGTGGTATTATTTCTGTGGTAAAATCTCACGGGAGGAGTATAATGCATTCAAGATCATCTGGATGGGTTTTATGCATTTGTTTTGACAAGAAATGGCTTATCTGTTTCCAGTTTAGTTAGATTTTATTATGAATAAAATGCTTATTTTTGACACAATTTCATTCTCTTTTTTTTAATGTTTTGATTAAACACTCATTCTCTACAGGCAATTTGTGACCATCTATATTATGCTGAAAATACCCAATACAATGATTTCTATAGAAGCACATTCTGTGAACTATGACAGAAATAGCAAAACAGGACTGCCCTATAATTCGGTGCTAATTTCTGTGTACTTGTATGCCAATTGCATGCCAAGCACAGAACCACATTTGTGAATATGCTATTACCATATGAATGTGTGCATCCACACAAATGCAATAAATTCTTAGAAAGCACAATATTAACATTCAAATATTCCAGAACAACCAGTGAAACGCTATAAATGCAAATTTAAAAAAAATAAAAACATATGCCAGCTGAGTCTCTTATTCAGATTTAGTTTCCAGTTCTAATCAACAGGCTAAAGAAAGATTGAAAATCTAGTCTGAATACAGTGTTTCTATACCAAATCTTCATGCTCTGTGTTTTTTACTCAAATAGAACAATGAAAATGAAAACAGCTTCTTTTAAATTCTAATATAAGTGCCCAAGAAAAACGCCTTCACAGAAGGGACAAAAGCTTTTTCATGTGGATCAAAAGCACGCCCCGCAATCCATGCCATACACTCCTGGTGTGAAAGCATGATAAAGAAGTGTAAATTAAATGCAATGGTGTTCCAAACAAGGTACATTAAGAAAATGTGACACTTTTTAACAAGATGTTTTTCCACTTGCTTTAAACAAAGCAAGAACATATTAAACACTTTCTAAAAAGCCATTTCAAATCTTCAGACAAGTTCACTTTCCAGTGTGTGATGTAACGTTGTGATGTCCTCTCAAGCTACTGACACTGCAGGTTAATAGCTAATTCGGAGTACTAACTGATCTGCTCTGCTGAAACCTCTTCAACCTGTTTGCTGCAGCAACCGCATAGAAATGTTTCTGTAAAAACAAAGTTACCATAAGAACAGGATCATATGTTATGCTAGTATATGTGGTACAATCTAGCAATTCCATATGTTCTAAATCCATTTAGAATCAAACACATGCACTGACTGGTGATGCTGTACCTTCCACTGGCGGTGAGCAGCGAGGTAACGCTGAAGCCTCATCTGAGACTTTAGCCGAACTTTGTACATCTTGGCCTTGTCCTCCAGGTTATTTAGCCAACTATGCTTCATGCACCCTGATGCACTCATACGGCTGCTACCATAGAGACCACACAGACACACACATTAAGTTCTTAAAAACATCCGGTGCTCAAAGAAACAAACAGTTCCATAAAATGCAGTATACAGTTCAAACCTTTCTGCGTAATGACTATGAATCATACGGTCACTTTATTACACATTTATATATCATATTATGTATATTTCATGTTTTGATTAAAACATCTTTAGCTAAACTCATTTCAATGGCTGCGCTGTCTGGAAGTGGCATACATCTTTGAGGATATCTCATTTAAGAAAAGTTATAGCTTAATTATAAAATGTACTATTCCTTGTGAGGTGTAAATTACTGAAATGTATTTCTTTGCTAGTGTAATGGTTTATTCTCTTAAATGAGACATTCTCAATGCCGTAATGCCACCTCCGGCCTTTGAAATGAGACAGAGCCAACATTTGGCTAACTGTGCCTGCTCCACACTTGCGGACTTTGCATGTGACTACTTCTTGCTAGTATTTACATTATTTGTATTTACAGTATTTGGCCCAAGATTTTAATAAATGAGACACAGTTTTGGTTTTAAAATGCAAGTTTTACAGAGCTTTATTTACACATTTTGATTTTCAATACTTTGCACTTTAAAATAAACTTCTAAATTTCTGTTCAGTCTCTAACAGGCGACACAGTTTATTAGTTTTGGTTCTTCTAATTAAGTGATAAAAAGCTGTTGGATTTTACAAAATACACATAGCCTACTCATCTCTGCACCAATAAAATGTGCAATACTTCATATTTTAATACCTAATTAAATCTGATTAAATTAACTTGCACACACTGGATAGTGTTCCTCAAAAATCTAGCAATTTTGGGGCACGTGAGTTTCAAAACATGATGAATAATGGGATACACTTAGCCTCAAATACCTCTCTAAAGTGGTATTAGCAATAGGGCACTTAGCGTTAGCATTTTTCAGACCTGGGACAGTCTTGCACTCTTAATTTCTGTTGCATCCACTCGATCAAGTGGATTAGACCACAACAAGTTTGGGAAGTCTCTGTGCTTGTTTGGCTAACTGTGCTAATGTTTGGCTAACCGTGCTAACATTTGGCTAACAGAGCCAAAAGAAGTCATCTTTATTTGAGCAAGAGGAACAGATTGTGTCCTGAAAGTGACTGAAAGATATATCTGATCATCCCGACTTTGCAAAACCTGCGCACTACATGAGTGCATTTACCAGTAGGAAAGATGTAATCCAGCTGATTATTCTAGGCCTATTATCATCATGCAAATAATCCATTAGTATTCATTGGCTGAAAGCATGAATGTGGGTGATATGAATCACACGGCTCGTGTGGGGGACTGTGATGAGGACATTAGACAACATTGTCACCACAGATAAAGAGAAGGGAGGAAAGCCAGAGTGGGTGTCATGCTGCGTCTGAATGCACCTTGTCAAAGCGCACTGGATCATTAACTATCACTTTTACTGCATAGACCGTGGTAAGATAGTGGGCAAAAGGCAATGTGCCCTCTCATGGCCACCTGCTGTGCCAGCCTGCTATTATCTCATGTCATCTGAGCAGTACAGCCCTTGTGTGGGACAGCTTATCTAAGACGGAGCAACATGAGGGTGAGCTCCAAACACTTTAAAATACACTGGGCCATGTTAACGTCAGCGGCCAATTATATGTCATTTGTGCCTTTTTTTGGTGTACAGCACTGTATTTTGAGAGGTTTCAGTTTTGATGTCAGGATGCATTATAAGGGAACCTGAGCAGGTCAAAGTGGGGCAATGATTGAGAGATGGAAGAGAAAAGTGAGGCTCTTAAAGCCACGTGACAGGTGGCCAGAAAGGAGGAAAAATAATAGAAGACAGGCTACACTGAAGTATGTGCGATAGAAAGCGTGACTTATGGTATATTCTGTACTTCAAGGTTTTGCACTAGTGGAATAATAATGGATGGATGAATACCATTTGGCGGGCACAAGAAGGCTGGAAATGAAGTCTTTGGCTTCTTCTGACACATTCTCAAATGCCTCTGTATCAAAGTCCCAGTTGGCGTGCAGAATGTTGTTCATTGTTTCTGTGTCGTTGTCACCCATGAAGGGAGAAAGACCGCTCAGACTGAAAAAAAAAGAAACCACGAAGGGAGTGAATATCCTAGAAATCTATTCACCCTTAGTTTTAAGCTTATCAAAGTATGACATGAAAAAGGTGCACTTATACCGCTGCTTTTTACCATTCTGATCTACTTTGATATTTTCTTATTGAAGCACTGTGAATATTTTTGGCTTTTCATGATTACTGAATTGTGTTTGTATTTTAGTTTTGTTTAAATCACCAGTTTAATGAATAAATATTGATACTTAAGGATAAATTTGTTAACAATAAGCATTACAGCATTTATTAAAACAAGTTAATGTTCAATTATATATTATGTTAGTTAGTTATTTAGTTCCTTTATTGTCCACGATTGGAACATTTCTTTGGCTTCAAAACACACCATAACAAGATCAACACAACATAACAATTATACAAAAACAATGATAAAAATATAAAATTAGAAATAAACTCAACATTTCACTTTAGCATATACACACATATGTAAAACAAACAACAAGCACCCAGCATGTACAACAAGCACTGGGTCATCAGCAGAGCCACACCCCGGAATACACTGATCCATTTGTAAAATTTCAAGTTGTATAAATTAATATTTAGAAATAATTTATAATGAATGAACATGAACTAACAATTAACAATATTTATAAATTAACATTAATAAATGTTATAAATGCTATGCTGATATGATTCCGGATGCATTATGTTAACAAATTAAACTAAACTGAAAGTGTTACTGAACAAAATTAAAACAAAAAACAGAATATAAATATATAAAGTACATGGATAAGCAACCGCAATACCAATACCATCTATAAAAACTTGAAATGAGGACAACAAACAATTATAGTGACTTAACTCACCACTAACACAATTATGTGTTTGTGTACTTTAAATAAAAAGCTGTAATTAAATGAATACACTGAAGACCTAAGTCTTGTTGGGTGTTCAGTTCTCAGAGAAGTGTGAAGTAGGTGACACACATATTCTTTGGATGGGCAAGCCCTTGTAAATCACCACCAACAGCTGTCAGGTAATTAGAATTAATTAAATCATTGAGGCCGGGCTGCTATTCTATTGGCCAGAGTAGAGGGTCATCTATGGCCAGCACTGCTCATGGAGAGAGTGATGGGGGCACAGGATCTGAGATGGGATGTTATGTTTGCTTGCTTGCTTGTGTGTACTGTTTTTTTTTCTTTTTTTTTCTCAGAACATGCTTTTTGAGCTGTTTGGAACTGGTGCCCTTTTATCAGGGCTCTATTCAATGCTCTTAGATGATCCCTCTAAAGCTTTCATGGGCGTCACATTTGCATTTGGCTTTTAATCTCGCTGATACTTCACT